TATATGTGTGTGTGTGTGGTAGCATTAGGCAACTGGAAAAGGGCACTAACAAACCATCCAAACAACTTTAATAGTTGATCACCAACAGAAGCAGGCAGGCCATCAAAAAATCAAAATCAGACAGCAACCGCCCACAAACCTTTGAGGAGAGTGACAAGAAGCCACCATCCCTGCCGTTATCCCCGTAACCTGGAGGTAGAAAAGGAAAGCAGCGAGACATTGCAGAGCCTCTCCCAACCAAAACAAGATTCAACCCCCTAAACTTCAACCAAAAGGATGCTCTGCAACTTCTTGGCCCCAAAACAATCACCAGAGACCAGATTCTCAAAATCCCTCGAGCTAGGGTTCAAAATCCCTCAACCTAGGGTTTTATCGAATGCGATCTTGGTTGGCAAGGAAACCCCCTTTCCACTTTTGACGCCTGTGACCAAGTTTAATTCCCAAGGAGCTGAGTTATTGGTATCGAAAAGAAATAAAGTTTCTAGGTTTTCCGAATTCAGGGAAATACCCAAAACCAAAACAACTGAAAAAGCAGCGCGAAAACCAAAAATAAAGAACAAATAATCTCTTTCAGATAATAAGATTCAATCTCTCTCTAAGGCTATCGGATGCGCAGGCTTACAATCCCCCTTAACCCTAGAAGAAGGGAGGAATCCTCAAACCCCCTTTTGATAAAGAGAGCGCAGAAGCCCTAGGATCTCCTTCACCAGGGTCGGCGGGAGATAGTTATGAAGCCAATGGATGGCAAAGGGTGGGGATTTATCGAGGGAGCGAGAGGACTTAAGTGGGTTTTGTACTTTGTTTAGGTTTCCTTGTTCCGATAGAGATACTACAAATAGAAATAGTATAAAAAGAAAAACGAAAATAAATAAAGAAAAATCGGAAAGCAGTTTTTTTTTCTTTTTTTTTGTACTTACTAATTATAGTAACATTACTATTTTGATCATTTTTATTTTTTAATATAACTTTTATTTTAGGTAATTATTTTTAAAAATAATTTTAATTATGTTATTACCTTTAGAATTTACATTTATTATTATTTTGTTTTTCCTATCTTTTACATTTACAATTATATCATCTATAAACTAAATTGTTTTCACTTGCAATATTAATTATATAAATTGTTTTCACTTGCAATAGTATAATTATATTATTGGGTGTGGTTTTTATAGGGCTCCAACCTTAAACAATCCAATTAAGGTATACCTCCAAATTTTATCATAACATATAATTTTAGTATAAAAATTTATTAAGATAATTTGAAAATCTATTTTCATATCTAATTATAAAATTTTAAAGTCCAAAAATAATTAAAGTCAAGTAGATCTATAAACATATGAAAATCTTAAAAAACGATGATCTAAATAATGTGTTGCATGATGCATTATTTTTGGGATTCAAATTCTTTTTTTTTTATATAATCATACATCTTGATGTCGAGATGATCAAACAGACGGTTTTTAACATTAAAATAACCTTTTCTGATAGATTTTTTAGGGGCATCTTTAATTCTACATTTTAAGCTTGCAATCTTCATAAACTTTTTCCTATATTATTTACACATACATAAGCATTAAAATAAAAATAGAGAATAAATTATCTTTTTCCTTTTTGCATTTACCAATGTTTTTTCTTTTTTATAACAATATTATATTATCAATTTATATAATTAGCATTTTGTTAATTATTTTCTTTTTATTTTGTATTTTCAATTGTATATTATTGATAATTACATTAGTGAATTATTATGTACTTGTAAGTTTATATTATTCTGAAAAATTATAAAAATGAAAATACAAACACAAACTTCAAAATATGATTATAATTCTATTTATAACGTATATTTACCATTAATTATTACTTTGTCAAAAATAGAGAGGGAGAAGAGAGAAAAATTTCAAGAGAGGGAAGGCAGTTTAAGAAAAAAATATAAATTCTAAAAAATAGTTGGCATGTAATGTAATTGAGATGGAGTTGGAGTGCATAAAAATAGGGACGAAAACCTAAAAAATAAGGAACCATATAAGATAAAGAGAGTATGAATTAAACTATGGACGTAAATCTTGTGGGGACAGAGAGCATATTGAGAAATAAATCTAAAATCAGTCTAAAAAATAGGGAAGCAATTATGACAAAGAGAGAAAAAAAGTACATGGGATCAGGGAGAAACATCCGGTGGAGAGTGAGCATATTACGAAAGAAATTCAAAATATAAAAAATAGAAAAGTATTTAATAAAATAAAAAAGTATAAAGTAAATTATTTTTAATTATATTTAAAAAATATTATATGTTATAAGTAAGCATTAAAAGAAAAATAAAAATTGAATTATCATTTTCTTTTTTGTATTTACCATTATTAGTAGTAACTTTTTTATAACAATATTATGTTATTAACCTTGCATTTTTGTTAATAAGTAAATATTATTATGGAAAACAGGAGAAAAAAAAAGTAAAAACATATCACATAAATTCTAAACATGACTGTAATTCCAAGTTAGGAAAAAGTTTATCTAAGGTTGCAACTTTAAAATATAGAATCAAAGATGCAACTCAAAATAGAGAATCAAATATGCAACTCAAAAATCCATTGGAAAAGGTTGTTTTAATATTGAAATACCATCTAATTGATCATCTCGACATCTAGATGTATGAATATGAAAAAAAATAAAGACTTGAGTCCCAAAAATAGTGCCTCTTGCAGCACATTATCTAAACCGTCCATTTTCAAGATTTTTTTATGTTTATAGATCTACTTAATTTTTTCCAACAAAGTTACATGTTATCATAAAATTTGCAAGTGGGCCTTAATTGGATTGTTTAAAGTTGCAACCTTATAAAAACCACATCCTTTTAGTTATAGTTAATTATTATTGGAGAGACACAAAGAGAAAAACATTTCATGGTCAGAGAGAGCGCATATTAAGAGAAAAATCCAAAATTTAAAAATCTTAAAAAACTTAATATAGAGTAAGAGTGCATGCAAATGGAAAATATATCTAAAAAAATATCGAAGCAGCATTTAAGTTATATATAAATTAAATTGTGTTTACTTGTATTAATAAATATATTATTTATTATAAGTAAGTATCAAAATAAAATTAGAGCAAGAATTGTACTTTTTCTTTTTCATTTTTATTAATATAAGTATTGATTTTTTATCTTTTTGTAGCAATATTATGTTATCAATCTATATGATTAATAACGTTAGTTAATTATTATTTTATTTTCATTATTTTAATTAAATTTATTATGTACTTATAATAAAATATTATTTTGGGAAATTAGAAAAATGAAAATGCAGAATAGGTAAAATAAAATTCAAAATACGATAATAACTATATTTATATCTTGCATTATTTGGTATTCAAATTATGAAAAATTGTTCGGGACGTGTTACTATGCAAGCTTGGATATCTATACCATCCATCAAAATTGGGTCCCATAAATAATAGTCCTTCAAAGAAAAAGTAAAATCAACGGTTCAAATATTTTATCCAAAAAATATCATTTCTAGTTTTTAAAATTTATTTACTTTTTACATATTAAGAGGCCCGCATTTCTATATGTGAGCCTATGAACTCATAGAAAATGTGTCTTTATATTATTAGCTAATGTAAATATTATTTGTAGTTATAATATTGTAAATATTGAATTTTCTTTACACATGTATTCTCTTTATAATTTATTTTTTAGATTGGTAATTTTATTATATTATATTTTCTTTGTGACGTATTTAGTAGCTAAATCAAACCCTATAGTATTCACCCTTTTGATAAAAGGTATTCTCGTCAATGAAATAACCTTTTTTTTTGTGAAGGCCCATAAAAAAGGTTGAGAGGGAAAAACGTGGGTGAATTAGAGAAGGAAGGAAACCATGTAGAGAGAGAAGCTTGGGGTTGGATTGGGTTTTTTTGCAACAAAATCCTAGCTCCACCATTTGGGATTCATCTTGGGTTGTTTTGGGGTATTTCTTTGAGGCATAAATGAGTCGAAGAAAGGAGCCTATTGTAGGTAGTTTTGTGATAGGAAGTTCTTTGTTTGAGCATTCCATGATATTGTACGAGGTAACTATGTATAACTTCAATCTTGTATTTTTTCTTCTTGATAGTGAATGAATCTTTGTTGTCTTGCCTGCGGACGTAGCCCATATTGGGTGAACCACGTATATGTGCGTGTCCCTCTCTATTTTCATTTGTGTTGTGCTTGGATGATTTCTCATATTGCTTGATTTATTGTTCTTATATTTTTTTCAATTATATTGCACTTGTTATTGCTTTTTGGGCATTTTATTTAAGTGGTGAAAGTGGGATTTGAGATATCCAATTTGCTCAAAGTGGAGATTGGGTTATCCCGATTTTTCTACAAGCGGTATCAGAGCTCAAGGAATTAGTATAGTATTTTTGGGGAAAATGACATCTCACGCATTTGAGGTAGAGAAGTTTAATGAGAAAGATAATTTTGAAATTTGGAAATTAAAAATGCAATGTTTATTGGTACATCAAGGGCAACACAAAGCATTACTTGGTAATAAACTGTTAAATATGACCGATGATGATTCGAATGAACTCGATATGAATGCACATGCCACTATTCATTTATGTTTAGCAGATAAAAATTTGTTTAATATTGTTAGGGAAAGACGGCAAAAAGATTTGTGGGAAATTTTGGAAAGTTTGTATCAAACAAAATCTCTCACAAACCGAATTTTCTTAAAGAGAAAATTGTATACCTTGATAATGAAAGAAGGTGCAAATGTGTCACAACACTTGAATGAGTTTAATAACATCATTTATCAACTTGTGAGTATTGGTGTGAGAATGGATGATGAAGATAAAGTGGTCACCTTGTTCATTGCTAGAATCCTATGATAACCTTGTTACTATATTGAGTTGTAATAAAGAAGGGTTTATTGATTTGGGCTCGGTGTGTAGTGCCCTACTTGCTAATGAACTTCGAAAGAAAGCATATTTGAGAAGTTCGGTAGAATCAAAGACGGAAGCTCTTGTGGCAAGAAGTCGATCGAATGAACAGGGTGATTCATCGAGGAATCATTCAAGAAGTAATTCAAGATTTCAATCAAAATCTAGAGGACCCATTAACAAGAATGTGTGATAACATTGTGGGAAGCTCGATCATATAAAGAAGAATTGTTTTAAAAAAAAGGGAGTGAATTCTTCCAAAGCTCCTAATGCAGAAGGTGAAAAGCCAAGTGAATCCAATAATGAAGCAAATCAAGTTAAAGAGTCTACATCTGGTTTCATTGAAGATGAAGTATTGATGGTGGCATATAATTCAATATTCTATTGAAATTGGATATTTGATAGTGGAGCCACACATCACATGTACCCTCATAAATCATGGTTTGACTCATATGAGTCATGTGAAGGATGATCGGTATCCACGAGAAACAATTCCACTAGCAAGGTGGTTGGAATGGGTTCGGTTCACCTAAAGATGTTTGATGGGTCTATTCTGCCAATTAAGGATGTTAGGCATATGTCGGAACTAAAAAAGAGCTTGATTTTCATCTCTTCTCTAGATTCGGAAGGTTATAAGTTCACCGATCAAGGTGGAGTAATCAAAATATCAAAATGGGCTATAATTGTGATGAAATGAGTCCTAATTGGGAGCTTGTACAAGTTATTGGGAAGCACGATAACAAATGATGAAGTGAATTTCGTGGTTGAAGGTGATGAAGTTCCATATCGCCTA